TATGAATCCAGTCCGGAGTTAAATTTTACTTTTGTCCCAAATCATTCCTCTCAATACAAAGGGTCTTTGATTCAAGGTCAAACAACTTCCCGTATCAAAGGCCACTATTTCACACTTTGTAAGCACGCTGGTATGTTCATTTGTACTACACATGTTGAAAACCGATAGCTATTGTAGTTTCCAACAAAATTATTACGGGCGAGCAAAAGAAAGCTTAGTTATCGGCAGCACATGTCGTGTTTAATAACGGAAAAGCTGGAAGCTATTCCAAATAGTCAACCACTACCTGCACAGCGGGCGTCTGATGACGTTAAACTTTGTACCTGCCAGATACGCACGTGTGCAGGCGAAGGGGAGCATGTGTTCGCCTCGGGGAGGCTATTGGTTGTGTGGAGGAACAAGGAATTAGTATTGGCCAACGTCAAAGAGTCGAGAGTGTGCCAATTTTCAGAAAATCTTTTCATCACGAGTGATTCAGTTGTGAGAATCCGAATTGTAACAAAGTCAAGGCACGCCTTGATAGTGATGAAAATAGAAATGTTTTATTCCGGAGTTCACTGAGCCTGATAACGTTGACGATAGCTGTTCAGGATTGCATAAGCGTGGGCGATCACATGATAAGATCGGGTTTCAACATCCTTTCTCCTTTGTCAAAAAATGTATATATATATATAATATATAGAATCACAGGGGTTCAGGCTTCAGTTGCCTGATGAGTGTGGTCCTATCGGACCATACGAAACAGCACTGTCGCAATAAACGATCAATGATTACTCCTGAAGCCTGAACTCCTGTGATTATTAATAGTCATCTTCAATTAAATGAATTAAAGGTACGAAATACGTTCTACCCAGAATACAAGTAATATATAGATGTATGTATACATACTTATACTAGACTGTTCCGGTCGATGAAGCTATATTCTATACTAAATTGTTCTTGTTAAAAAAAATCAAATGTCTCTTGTTACCTAGCCAAAATACTAATTCAGTTTAGTATAATTACATTGATGATTATCGAAAATAGAGCGCTATGATTGGCTAGGAGCTTCGCTTCATCCCGCTATACTCACCGCGCGGTGATTATAACATTGAAGGCTAGCAGTTTTCCAAAATGGCATCCAGATTTGTTGATGTTTCGGACTCGGAAATTGATCAGTAGTTTTATTTTCTCGAATAATCATAAATGTAATTATACTAAAACAATTAGTCGCCTCAGGCCACTAATTGTTAAAAACAGAATATAGCTTGAATAAGCGTGGGCGATCACATGATAAGATCGGGTTTCAACAAGTCTATTGTTACACGAATCAGTGAAGAATGCACTTTTATTGCCTATCCTATACTATTTTCCTCTGTTGCGTAACTGTTCAACACACGGAAACGCTAACATTTGGTATTTATTTTGATTCTTGTCTTGTTTTCTTTGATTAAACAATGGCGTGTTTTTTGCCGGGTTCATTTTTGACTTCGCAGTTAATGTTTGATTTCCGAAATTTGTCCCTTTTCTAAAATGGCACTTTTGATTTCAAATGCTTACTGAATACAGGGCTACTGGGACTAAGGAAGCCAAGAAATAGAGGTGGAAGCCGGGAATCCAAATTACGGGAGGTTTGGACATCCCTGCCTCCCCCGGGTACTGTATGTCTTTAAAAGATTTTTGTCCTGTAGGGAATGAGAAATCGCTCTTCGTTATCTTGCTCAGTAATCTAAATGGGTGATTCTCAACTAAATGCCACTTGTTCATTAGAATCTTTTAAAGACTAGGCACTGGTGGGTTGCACTGTGTAACAAAATTCGTGAATTGCTTCCTTTTTTTTTTGAGGTCTTCTGTGGTTAGGGTTTGGGAATTTTTCTTGAAAAATAGTGATAAAAATAAAACTGAAAGAGAGTATGTTTCAAAACTTGAATTCCAAAAATCCAACCATTGTCTAGTCTGTCCAATATCGTCCCCAGAGCCACTCGACTTCATGTGACCCAGAGCAGAAACGACGGGGACTGGGGACATGAATGGGAGCTGCACCTGGTTTTCAGTTCTGAAGCCCAAATCAATGAGAATGTGTAAGTTATTCGTGTCATCTCCTCCACACATATGAAAAACATATGTACCTAGATAGTCCGCTTGAGCCCGAATTACATATCAATGAGTTTCCAAGATTTCTTTTGGGGGAAAGCTAAGCCAATATACACAATATGTGCATGACGGTTCGAAATCATCAAATCCACCCCAAAAATTCACCTGCTCACTCAGGGGTAACGAAGTCATAAAAAAGCTGTTATACTGACATCAAAAAGCAAATAAGAATGCTAAGCTTAATTAATTTTTGGTCTTTCAGCTACCTTGGTGTATAATACATTAAGTACAATTGTGTATCTTACTTTCTTAGCTTTTTTCTCGGGAGTAGCAGGAGATCTGAATCAGCTTTTGCAACTCAAGGCAAAAATTCGTCAATACGATGGCCAATTTTGTTGTAACGACTTGCTTGCTTAATGGTCTGCTTATGCTCTTAACAATCATGGGCAATGTTCTCGTGTTGACCGCAATGTTAAAAACTCCTTCTCTTCGTTCACCGTCCATGATTTTCTTATGTAGTCTCGCTGCCTCAGATCTTCTTGTCGGGTTCGTCGTACAACCGATCTACATTGGATTCAGACTTAACCCAGGACCGGAATTAGAACACTTAGCCTACATCCTCGTCTCTTTAGCTTGTAGTGTTTCTCTTTGTACGATGACAGCCATCAGCGTGGATCGGTTTATGGCTCTCCATTTTCACTTACGATACCCGGATATGATGACCAATAAACGCGCTGTAAACATATCACTAAGTCTTTGGTTCTTGGCCTGCACAACATCATGTATTAGATTGTATTAGGTTCGTAAACATAAGCTTCAGATTCGAATTCAACAGCAGCCCGCCATGCAAACTGTGATTGTTGATCGTAAACAGAACCTGGCGCGATGGAGAAGAAGTGCTTTAAACACCCATATATATTACATCTGTATGACTCTGTGTTATTTTCCGATGTTTTCATCTCTGTTACTTTTAAGCATTAACCCAAAACTCGAGAGACAGGAGTGGGATTTGAAAATGAATATGGTTTTTATGAACTCGTCCATTAATCCAGTTTTGTATTGTTGGCGTTTACGCGAACTTCGACATGCAGTTTTAAAGATAATCAAACAACTACTATGTAAACAAACGGAAGAAACCTAATTCTCCGAGAAGAAAACCGTATTAATCAGTTCAGTTAGTTTTTCTGCTTTACTGTTGTAACACGAACGATGCTTTGGCTTAAACATCGCGTGAAAAAAATCGACGTTACTTCTAACGATAAAATAATTACAAAAATATGAATATAGTTCACATCATGTCACATCCGCCATGTTGGTGTCCCAAACCAGTCCTGTGGGAGTTTAACTCTTTTCTAATGTAAACACTTTTAAGTGCTAGCCACGTGAGTGAAAACGCTCTATTGAATTTTCTGCACTGTCGTTATGATAGATGCTCTACCAAGGTCGGCACATGTTCCATCCCCTAACACAGGATACGCTCCTGCCCAACAACAGCAATAACAAAAACAACGACCACACATTTAATGATAATTATTTCTTGTCATTGTAAGGATATTTTACATCTACACCATAAGTTACTTTTCTAAACATACTTCATTTTATTCTCTTTTACGAATAACACGTGATCGTTAAACGATCTAAGGGTTTCACTCTTGAAAACTTCTTTCACTGTTACTAGATACTGCTGCCTCATTCCGAGGCTCTGTTGCACAGTACATCCTTCCCATTACACCAAGCGCTCCAAGCATGAGCATGGAGGGACGCGGGAGACTGGGGACATGGCAGGTAAAAAACCGTGTACATTGCTATTAAAGCTTGCCGCCCCCTCAAGTGGAAGACGCTAAACAGGAGAGAGTACGAAACACAAGAGATGCAAAAGAGCGTCGGATAGAGAAGGCATAGGGAAGAAAAGAGGGCTTTGTTATTTTTTCGTTACGCGTCCTTTTGTGTTTACACGTGCAGAATTCAATTTTTCTCTCTTTCGGTTTCAAGATTCGTGCATTTCTAGCTAAAGAAAATTCAAGGACCTTTTCAGGAGGACAGCCAATATTTTGACTGAACTATAGGCTTTATAGTTTTGTCCACATCATTATACAGCAATTTTGCCTCTTTGTACGGTTTAAAGTTGAGTTTTCTTTCTTCAAGGAGTGGCTTTTCTTTTGGAAGACTTCTGGTAATGAAATAAAGATGTCGCTTCTATTTTGCCAGCACCAGAGAGAGATTCAGCAAACATCTTTACAAC